GGATGTGACGATACTTATATTGTTAAACTCAGGAGAAAGAACACTCTTTGATTTTGAAGCTTTATTCTAGCGGGCGGATAGAAGAATGAGAATTTTCAAGGTCTGGAATAGCGAAGAATGGTGCATGAAGATATTGGAAGTTATAGTCGACGCTTAAGGCTATTACATAAGTTTATTGGTTAAAATATACTTCCGTCTACTTAAAAGTCGATCTCTATGATAACTTTATGGCTAAATAATATAAGTTTCCGCATTTCTGTCGGTCACGAGTTGATTGAATTCATTCTTTCGATATACAAAACGGAGAAACGAACTTCTCACGATTTTGGAAGCTTCAAGCACTTCAATTTCAGTGAGATAGACAATGTCAGGTTTCGCTGGGTACCTATTACCATAATAAACACCTTTAGGTGAAATCTTCCTAGATATCTATATCCAAATATGGACAAGTAGATAGCGGAGTATACACATAGTTACAGACGTAATACTAATCCTGAAATAGGTACTGGGCTTCATTTACCCATTCTATCTCTATATTCGTAGGTATTTGCCAATAACTTTCATTAAGAAAGATATCCGAATACCCAGAAGGCCTAGCGAAGGCCTGGGGCTCTCCATACTCGCTAGGTTGCTGGAGTTTATAGAGCGGATGAAAATCCGGCTCTGTTTGTTACTCTTCGATCTTAGATATCGCTGTGGTTATGAAAGGCTCTTGTTGCTCATATGTGTAATTAGGAGCGTTCATAGGAAATTCCAACACTTGGTTCCCTTCGAAAGGCCGACATTACTCAATATTAGCTGTCAGTCCCCTACCCCTTGCTACGTCGGTAGTAGCTAGGATATTCTGTATTAATGTCGCCTTGTCAGACCCTGGTTTGATCAAACCGAGTGCCTCCAATATAGTAAATGACGTGACCGGTCTATCAGGTTGCTCTAGTAGACCGAGATAGTGGGGGTTGTTAGTCTTTAAGGCTTCATAGAGGCGATGTATAGCTTCGTTCATGACCTCTAATATTTGCCTATGGCTTATAGCTAGTCAATAGAAAGCTACTAGTTGAAGGGTTTGGAGATAAATACTCTTTTTGAAGTCTAAGAACCTGACCTTCCTGATACGAATAGAATCTTTCACTCTCCTGGCATGGAGTATAGAGTTTTCCCCCGTAACACTTAGATAGTAAGTATCCAAAGAGAGTTTTCGAAAAGGGAACTCGCACTTTTATCTTTTTGAGTTTGCAGCGATCGCAGGCTCGCTACTTTCGTACTGTTTTAGCAGCATCGCGACTGCTCCCCTTTTTTTCTCGACCACTTACGCTGTCAAAGCACTATAGCTTTAACACTTGGTCCATCTTGATTTATGATAGTACAAGAAGTGAATAAAAGGGCTCTAAATAGTAGGTTTAGTAGCTGAATTACAGAGCGGTCTGTTTGGGGTTTAAGTAATGTTCAGTTAGAATCGGTCACGATTTATCACCTAAGGTAGTCTACGTTTCATCTACCTCCACTATATAATTCCTTAATGATTTGGGAATGCCATTTGCTCATTCCCTTACTATAGCCCAAATATATACGATTCCGCATGGCCTAAGTAATAATCTATCTGTCACGGCCGTGAGCACAGACAGAACAGATCTAACTAGATCTAGTCACGGCCGTGAGTATAGACAGAATAGATCTAACTAGATCTAGCCAGATCTGACCAGACTCGACGATATATCCCATATCGATTAATATTACGCTAAGTAAGGACGAACCGTAACGGGCCGATATTATCCCGGACGAGATATAAGATAAGCGTATATCTCTAATTAGTTATATAAGAAGAGCGACTTAATATACTAGAGCCTTAATAAGAGTATCCGCTATATAAAAGTATAACGTCGTATCCTTTTCTTCCTTCCTTCCTTTACCGTCACACTATCTCTAGAAATACGTTCTTTCAACACTAGAAGGCTCCCTACGACCTATTCTAGGTTCGAAATATACATAACGTAGGCGTGATAAGCTAAATAGGTTTCCAGAATACTTTTAGATAGCTAAGTAATAGATTAATATAATATAGAAGATATTGATAGATACTCTGATATTCACTAGTCATAGCTGATAAGTCTATATCTTTTAGAAGTAGTTATACTCCTAGAATTCCTGGAACTCCAAGTCAATATATTTTTATTCTTCGCGAAAATCTTCTTCGATACACTTTTATTCCTTACGAAAATCTAAAACTACGCTCTTTAGTCGTTCTATTATATCACGGATATCCTTAACTATCTTCGTATATCTTAATTCTATTCGACAATTCTTCGCTACCTCGGCCTTTAGCCTCTTATTCTCTAGTTCGAGAGCGCGTATCTGTAGGCGTATATGAGGGCTTATGTGGGACTGAGCATTCTAGGGACTCGGTCGCGCTGTTGACCTCGGCGGAGGAAAGTGCTAGCCGCTGCGCTTAGTAGCTAGAGGCCCAAATAGAGAGGTATCGGGAAGGTCTTTTCTCAGCGTTATAGAAGATTTAACGTTATCTATATTAAAAAGCTCCTTACTTCGTGCTTAACTTCTCAAAGCTATGCACATACGCATTAATTTAGTAGCTAGAGGCCCAAATAGAGAGGTATCGGGAAGGTCTTTTCTCAGCGTTATAGAAGATTTAACGTTATCTATATTAAAAAGCTCCTTACTTCGTGCTTAACTTCTTAAAGCTATGCACATACGCATTAATTAAGTCAATTACTTATGTCGTCGATTTCCATTCAGTTCTAGCAAAAGAGGTTAAATTGTGGAGGTGATAAGGATTGAAGGGATATAAACAGTGCTACTAGGAATCTAAGTTAAACTTATTATTATTTATAGAACTAATTTAGAATTTAGAAATTGATCTTATAGAGATATCGTAGAGGCTGATATGATGGATTAGATTACGCACACCAGACCTCTCAAATGCGCCCCCGCCCCTAATATCACGGCGATATGTAGGATTTGATAGCTAGAGCCTAATAGTCAAAGATCCCTGGAAACCACTTTTCGGGTGTCTATAGATAGTTTGGATTACTAACCTATATAATCGAGGATGAGTGGCTTACCCTATTTATATAGATAATTGCACCGGTGATATTTAATAGGCTTATGATAATTATCTATTCTAGATTCAATCGCTGGTTGTCTAGTGCGACGCCATATAAAGTAATACTATGGATCATAAATACCAAAGGTGAGTATGTAAGTGCCGAATATATAAGTACGCGCTGGTACCGAAATCTAGGCGACTTAAAGTGTAGGTGTAAGGTTGTAAGCGCATAGAGTATTACTAATGTAGAAGTCTAGAGTAGGTTAGTTATGCACGTTGCGCTTGATCTGAGAATATCAGCTTACCGTACACTAGTATATGTATTGGAGTTTTGTACTATTAAAGAACGCAAAGTACATAGCGGGAAGGGTCGCCGCCCAGACTAATAGCACAATACCTAAGTAATCTAAGTGGTTCCAAAATGAGGTAATACCCTGACTATAGTTTGCCAAAGTGTGAAACCTATATTTTCTCAGCAAAAGATGCGCATTAAACTAGGAGCTATCCTTATAGAGCTAATAAGAGAAAGCAGGCCGAAGCCCCCATTGAGAATATTATTATTATGAGCGTCTCCATTGAAGGATAGTCAAAGTGTGCGTTATATAGGAAGCGGAATGCGTAGACTGGTGATAATAAAAACGTAATAGATCCAAGGAGGTGAGTCTAGATATTCACTAGGTATAGCTTCGTTAGTGACGGGGCAAGTATAGGAGGAATTGACTTCGCAAAACTTTACCTGTTTCATTATAAATAGAAAAGATACTTATTACGCATGCTGTCCACGATCCTGATGGTGGTCTGTAGACTATCAGTGCTTTGATTCTCAGTAAGACTGAAGATAGATCCTACCGATAGCCATAAGTTATATATTCATTATCCCTTTATATATGTAGGTCAGTGAAGCCTACGTTAACACTTTCGTCAAACTCACCTCTGCCATCCTTCTAGATATTGACCTAAATGTTAGCGAGGTAATTTTCACTAATAGCCCTACTTACCAAGATCATCCCAATATATAAGTCTGTCATCCTGAGTATAAAGTTGGTATTGACCAAACCAGCGGGGTTGGGTTCTCATCCTGCTTGAAGCCATAGGCAAATACTCGGGCGAACTCCGTGTATTTATTAGTAATAACTAGTAATTAGGGGAGAGATCATATCTATGGCGGTACTACCTAATATATTAGCTAGATATAATATATACTCTGAAAATGGTGAGCGCCCGGCCTTAACAGAGCTAAAAATATATGACCGGCCATTCCTTCGGACCAAGGCGTAAACTTCAACCTGGCACTTTTTGTGAAGGTTAGATCCACTATTGAAGAGTCCCTTTTTCAGTCGATAAAATCGTATTCTCTCTAACTTTTTTCTTTTTACCCGTGGTTTCCAGGTTTTCGTCCATTGATCCGCGCCGTCTGGTAATAATGTTGAAGGAGTATGAATAGAACTTAAGTCTGGAAAAGGAGTCTCTAGTTTATATCTTAAAAGGCCCGTTTAGATGAAAAGTTGTCATAGTCTTGAAGAGATATGTTAGTGACTTATAATCCTACAGTAGATATTTATACTTTATGAGAATTATTCATCGGAAATATTCTGGCCTTATTCCAAATAGTCATGAGCGGGTAACAGATTAATAAAATAGTGGTTTGTCATATTATAGTTTTATTGGTAGACTTTTGTCTTATATCTTATAGGAATATAGCTATCCTCCGCCTCAATGGTCGTTTCCAGATGATGTCCAATCCAGAAAATCCTAAAATTAGTAGGGTTATATTTACGTGGGGAAATGTAACGCTGGACCTGATGGGTGGAGACTATCAGTCAAAAGTTTCTGGTCAGCTAGAGGATAAAAGGATAGTGTGAGGTAGAAGCTATAATAACCACCTATAAGTTACCTCTGATCTTGGAGTAAATATAACGTTATTTTTCGTCTGTTTTTAATTATGGATAGTAGTACTGGACATTTGTCGAGTCCCTATAACGAGACCCATATTGTGCAGAATCCGCTACGGATTACTACAAATGGAACGGTCGAAGCGCCAACACAAACCACAACCTATCCTGATGAATATGGTAATAAGGTGCATAAAAGTAAGAAACTATATTTAGGCCCTTCAAATGAAATGTCAGCTAACTAGTGTTATAGGAAAACCACTTAAACGACCTCTTCAACAGGCTGAAGAAGCGCACCATAGATTCGTCCGAGTTCTCGACCTCCAGCCGTAAGAGTCTATATCGACTGTCAACGTAGGAACTATAGCTAACAAAGTATAAGTCGCACTAATACTGCCTCCGGTTACGCCAAAAATACCTACAAGTTCTTCGTCTAGAACGATTCTTCCTAAGGCAGATCCTGACCACGATCGGAAGGCGGTAGCTATTCCCTAAGCTTCCTCTGTGCCTACGGAGCTATCCGTACCTGGAAGACTATGGACTACGCAAGCTACCCCAACACCACTAATGGCACACTTCGAAGCTGGGATATCGTTACCGTTCACTAGGCATCGACCAATACATAGGTTTCATTGTACGCACTGTGGGCACGTCGTACAAGTTTACGATATAACTGAACCCAATCAACACTAAGAACCAATATATAGTACCAACCAAGTTACACCCCATGGATACGCCCCTCAAGCACCTAGGCGCTGGGTTCCATATGGACATCCCTCGATGGGAGGTAGATGAGCTCCTATCTTAAATGTTAAGATAGTGTTTTGATCCGGCTGACTGTTTTAAGTGGCGGCTACCTTAAGTGTAGCAGATCTGGGTGGACAGGTCTAAGTTATAGTACTAGTTAACATTGATGGCCGGTGGCAGTCTCAATTTCACCTCCGCTTTCCTATTCTCATTATTCTGAACTGCTAGACGTAGAGGTGCTTCCGGGTCTGTAGAGGGACTTATCTTAGTAAAGTGATTAGCGGAAGAGATTATAACTAAAGTTGTATTGTTCAGTATAGGCCTTGGCTCGGCAGCTGAACTTCAAATAAAAGTATGGGATCCTTCAAAGGTATAATTGAGACTTAAAACGGCTCTAGCGCCTTCCTCTGGACAGCTAACCCCGTAAAGAAGGTGGACATGGTCGGAATACTAAGTAAATATAGCTAGAAAGTATAAATTGATTACTGTCGCAGTCCCACGTTGAGTCACTCAGCTGACTAATTAGAAATCAATATATTTGTATAAAATGTCGTGGTAATAATAGTTTGATTAGAAACCTCTGTACGCCAAAGTGGTTTTTATCGAATATATCGCAACCTATTTTCCAACCCGACAGGTACTTACTACAACGTGGGATTCAGGCGTCCTGCCGGCTCACTGCTTAGCACTTCTTACTTACTCAAAGAGCGGGCGGCTTAATCCATCCTATTATAGCCGAGGAGATTCGATCAAAAAAAGATCTGGCCATTGCTGACGCTGGCTACGGTAACGGGATATGGGCTATAGAGATCGCAGAAAGGCACCCATCTGCGGAGGTGGTCGGACTGGACGTGTTAGCAGCACAGTTTCCCGCGCCATAGACCTATCCGGATAACTACTGCTTCTACTAACTAGACCTAATGTAACCCGTTGACGAGGAGTATAATGATTACTTTGACTTGATCAATGTTCGATTACTTGTAGGGCTATTAAATGGACGCAATTTCAACCCTATTGTCGACAATCTCTTTCGGATGCTGAAGAAGGACGGATTGATCCAGTGGCTGGACGTTTCACCGCCAGGTATTCGTGCCTACGACTCCTTAGAGAGTTCTAATATCATACCGAATTGGGGGTAGTCAGCTTCGATTTCGACTCAATTCCCGGCGTTCGTTAGGTCCACTAACTAGCTTGGATAATTACCGACTTTTCTAAAATAACGTGGATTTAGGGATATTAAGATGTACGAATGTCCTCCAAAGGAATCCATTTTAAGGCACGAGACGGACGATATTAGGTTAGTTTTGATAGAGTTGTCAAAATCATGTCTAACGGTGGAGCTAGATATAGCTAAAAAGTTTTAAGATGCGGTTACTGACTTGCTTAAGGAGATATCGGATGGACGATTATTCACTGTGGTGCTCCAAACTACCATTAGTAGAAAACCACGGGGCGCGCTTTCGAAAATTGAATGTTTATCCGCATTGAATAGGACAGTATGAGAATTTATTACATAATCGGAGGATGTTACCGAGGCTGTTGTGAAAAGGGGAGGCTATGAACTCTCGAATAAATTTTGTCATTTTTACTATGGAATTTTAAGTAGGTTAGTGTTATAATGTATAAGTTTTATCCTAGCTGTCTATTTCCACAGATAATATCTACAGAAGGACAGCTTCGAGAGCGAGTTGGACAAAAACAGCTTAGATCATTATTTAAAGCGGGGAGTACTATTATAGCGAGGAGAGCTATTTTTAAGACTGATCATGAAGGCAGGAAGCGAGTAGTAGTAAAGTATTTCTATGGAGTAGGTAGTTTCAGGAGTGGCTTAACATCACGGAGCCTAAGAAAGAGCTACTAAATTTAGTAGCTTTATTTCAATACGATAGAATCATATATATTAAGAAGAGGTTGGAACGAAATCTATATTATAGATTATAGCAAAATGGAAGTAACACAATACTACGCAGTATCTTTACTTATCCTTCTCCTTATTCTGACTGTCTTAGTAAAATTCCCTCCAACACTACTTCCCAGTTCTGTCTTTAAACACCTTACTATTCGACAGGTACAATATGCCGCTCCTCCAAACACGATGTGGTTCCATATAATCCTCATAGTAATTTATTTTATCGGAAATACTATCTTTTTATGGAGTCAATCTAATAGTTGGACTAATTTCGCTAATAGATCTGGCACACTTTCACTTATTAACGCGGTACCCTTACTCTTTAGTGAGAGAATTAGTATCCTACCTATGGGAATAAGTCTAGGTATCGATAAGTATGCGATTGTCTATCGTTACATTAGGTTTATAGTGTTCTTAGAGACACTTACTCATGTTATCACGGTTATGATTATAAAATAGCCACACGTCATCATATGGTCAAGTGCCCTAGTAAGTTTACGGTTCCATATGTAATGTCTACTGACAGTTTACTGGGAAGGGTGGGGTTCCTTCAGCAATATGATAGTATTGTGCCTACTCCTTTTCCTTAGGCGCTTCTACGATATTTTCGCCGTTACTCACACTATTCTAGCATTCGCAACCTATATTCCTATATATCTCCATATAGGAACGACACCCTGGATGTCGAATAGGGTTTATATTATCATCGGCTTTACAATATTTACACTGAATTACGCTACGAGGCTTATTCGTATAGTCTATCGGAATTTTAACCTCACCCTCATGTATCGGGACCTTCGGCTTGCGAGTCTTGCGTGGGTTGACAATATAATGTATAATAACATAGTAAAGGGGGGGAAGAAGATCTATATGCCAGACGCTATATATCTCCATATCCAGCCGTCTAGACCCTGGAAACTTCGAGACGGCCAGTTTGTCTACCTACGATTTCCTACCCGTGATCCAAGATCTTGGGCCCCAAGCTATCCATTTTATATTTCTTGGTGGTATAAGAATACAGAAGGGGATGATATTAGGGTCTATATAGTTGAAAAACAGCGTGGACTTACCGAAAGGCTTTCTAGCCTTGATAATAAGACGATAAAGAATGTCCTTATTGATGGCCCGTATGGAAAAAGTCTAGGGCTAGAAAAGTATGAGACTATTCTCCTTTTCGCTACCGGTATTGGTATTATAGATGTAATATCTATAATTATATAATTATTTAAGAGTTCCGAACGGTCTCCTATGAACCTAGGCTAGATATCACTTTTTTGGGAACTAGACTATTCACGTAAGTTTATTCAAAAAGTTATTTAACTATTATGACTAAAATCCCTTCGAAATAGGACATATCTCCTGAGTGTCAGATTTTGCGGAAGAATTACTCTATTAGGATATCGATAAGGTACTGTTTATCTTTATCCAAATCACTGTGATTAATTTTAACGGAAGGTATAGAAAGTCAAAGTGCGGGTCTTTATTCGAGCGAAGGATTATTCGAACACTAGTGGATTTGGAGGGGTTATTAACGGAGATATGCCAGTTGAAGATCTAATTTTGTCCGCATTACTTAGAAATAAAGGGAAAATATTGATCTCTAGTAAGTGAAAGACTTGAATTATAGATACATTACTAACTTTTATATCTTTTAGTGTGTACGAGGAAGAAGGTTAGTGTACGGATAAGAAAGCTAGCTAGCCAATACACTCGAAACGTTCGGGTTGAGGAGTTAGAATTCCGCCCCCTACCGTCACTCCTAAATGAATAAGAAAGAATACTAGGGTTATTTTTGGGTACTAAAACGACGGCCTAAAGTTTGGAAAATACAGTAATAGAATTTATATATACCTTTGGAATCCTAGCCCTCGTAAATAGCATTTTTTATTTTCCTTCTCGGGTTCTATACCACCCTCTCCCTTAAAGTAAATTGTTTTATGGCTAACAAATCTCGATATTATATCGCAGCCGTGGGAAACCGTAAATGATGGGAACAAAAATCAACCCAAAATAATGATGGGGGCTACCAAGGAGGTAAGGAACCTCGTCTAAGGAAAGAAGGATATGACCTACTGAAGGATGGGCAGCTTGTTACAGGAGATAGTCAGGAGAACTATAATATTACAAAAAATATACGATTAATGGAGGCCGAAGCCCTTCTCAACCTTCAGTCTAAACAGTTATTAAAGCTGGTAGCCTATGAGAACCGCGGCCTAGAGCCTACGGAGGAGGATGAGAAGATTGTCCAGGAGCAGGCTTGGAAGGAAATTCTATATCCGATAGAGGAAATTCTCAAGAGTTTCCATAATGATTTCTACTAGATTAGTTAGACTAGGATTTCCAAGAGTATAGCTTCATTAATTAAAGTTTAACTAGATGGGTATCTAAGTTTGATCTCATTCCGGAAGTTAGCTATATAAGTATATATAAATCAGAAATTATTGTGAATTAAGAATTACAAAGTTTATTTTATACTTTATAGCCATCTCAGACCTCTTACTGATCTTGACCCAGGACGTATCGTAGTATTTCCGTAGCTTCTTTAAGCCGGACTCTACGATTATCTTCCGCCACTTTCCCGGGATCTTGGAGTCTCACTCTATTGTTTTCTTCCGCCGCTTTTATAGGATCTTGAGATTGAGATCTATTGTTATCTTCTGCGTACTTCACAGTATCGCTATCCTTCGCCAAGTGAATTTGCTTCTTTCGTTTCCTCTCCCTCCAAAAGCCTTCATCGATATCGATCTTAACATCCTCTAACAGATGAAACTCGATTGTATAAGTGCCATCACGGCTAATGATATCCCAAGCGTCCTCTGGCGTCATGGCTTTGCCTTTTGTATCGTAAGGGATAAGACGGTGTTTTTTGCAGCGTCTTAGAATATCCTCGAGTTTCGTACGGCTTGTAACAACATCTTCGGGAGGGCCTAAATCTCTTTCTATCTTCAAGTGAACGGTTTTTTCATTACTAGCGTTCGGGGCGGGCTGGAAAGTAAAAAATTTGGATTCCGCCTTGAATGCTTGCTCCGTTCCCCTAATCTCTATCTGTTACTTTCGTATGTGTGCCTTCATTTTTCTTTTGGTATCTTGTTGTGGTTTTTGCGTCTTCAACGGATTCGATTTCAGCGACGATAGCTGCGACTTAAGATCGGCGATTTCTTGTTGGGTGACTTCCCCCTTCTGTAAGAAGGCATTCAGTTGTGCCTGCCTTTCGTTAAGCTCCCGCTGGAGGCCTCCCTTCTCTTCTGAGGAGACATTTAGTTGCGCCTGCTTTTCGTCAAGCTCCTGTTGGAGGGCTTCCTTCTCTTGTAAGGAGACATCCAGTTGCGCCTACTTTGTTACGATATCCTGTGAGAGCGTATTTACCTGAGATTTAAGGTTACTATGCTCCATCGACATACGGTCCTTATCTAAAGTTACTTTCCGGAGTTCATTAGTCCAGTTGTTCTTTTCGTTTTGACACTTATCACGTTCTCCTTGTAACTCCTATTCGTGGGTTTTTTGGGTTTCCTATGCGCGCAGTTCTAGGGTTGAAAAAGTCTCCCTAAGCGTATTAATACTGTTACTGAGGAGAAGCCACTCTTTCTCAAGAATGGCTTTAGCTTTCGAAAGCTCCTGGTAGTTTTGTTGAAGAGGTAGTGTCTTCTGCGTTACTTCGGAATATAGCTTACTTTCCAAGCTTATATTATCCATCCTTATCAGCTCAAGACTGGACCCTACCTTCTCTAGAGATAGTGATGTATTATTATAATCTATCAGTAGGGTCTCGCCTTTCTTTCCATCGAGTTGTAGTCTTTTCTCCTCCATTGCTTGTCCTATTGAGCGTAGTTCGCTTAGTAGTGTCTCATAAAGCGGATAACCTTTTCGTTTATCTGGCTTTCATACTGCTCGGCTATTTCTTTTTGTTTGAGATTTTCCTTGGCCATATATACATCAGATAATGCCTGCTGGAGCTGAGCCTCAATACTCTCCTTCTCTTTAAGAACGCTCTGGAAGTGTGATGTCATATCTTAGGGTGTAATATTTCCAAGTGCTAACTGTATCTCCGCGAAATAGATCTGGAGTTGGCTAGCCTTCTCTTATTCAGTCGTAGATATCTGGAGAAGCCTGCGGTTTTCTTCACTTCTCTTGTCAAGCTGCTTCTGGAGGTCTGAGTTTTCGCTTTCCAATCGAAACGTCGTCTCTCGGCATTTACTTTGCATTTGGCGCAGCTAACCTTTCAAATCGGTTATTTCTGCTGTAAGTAATCCGTTTGTAGACTTATAATCCTGAAGTTAACGATCTTTTGATCTCGAGTCCTCTAAAGCTATTCTTTCGGTAGTATTTCTCTTCTCGTTACCGGTATATAGTTTATTCACTTCTTACTATAAGATCCTCATCTTCTCTTCTAAAAATTCATTTTGTCTTTTTCCATTATCTTCATTTGATAGACCGTGCGAAAGCATCGAAATATCGCTTTCCCTTCTATTAAGTTCATTTGATAGGCTCTAAGAAGGTAAATCTAAGTCCAGAGACAATTCGTTGGAGGCGTCGCCTAACCGTACCGGTGGTATTTTCATCGTAAAATCACTAAAGAAAGCTTCATAGACTGCGACTCGAACAAATAGAGAAGAGAGTCCTCGTCCAAGACTATCTTTATCTTCAGCCCAGAAGCGGAGTAAAAATGTATAATTATGGTCATATTAATAGGTAAGCTCTCAATGCCGCCCACACCTTCTCTCTAGCCCCTCTCCATTCTGTTTAACAAATAGAGTTAGCGTAGCTAATGAAGAAGCTTTTTTCTTCGCCGTATTAAGAATCTCAATTATTTTCTTCTTATTCTCCTCAAATTATGACTTACTAAAAGTATAGATAGAAGGCTTACGAGCCTGAAGTAAAAATGCTGATATAGTCGTCTCGTCTAGATCAGCCGCTATTAGCCGTGAAATCTTATCGTTTTCAAACCCTAAGTTAGAGGCGAACTGAGTAAGAGCTGTCTAAAGATACGGATTAGGTACTTTAGGCTCTAGTGTGGGTCGACCGCGCTCTTTTAGTGGAGTTTCGGGGATGAATAAAGAGAAGTCCCTTCCTACAAATAGAAAGAGCTGAAAGATCCCCTAGTTTAGTTACTGCGTAAGACTACCCTTATAATATCCTACCGATGATTCTGATTCTTACACGCAAATAGTATCACTCGGGTCACTTGAGTGCTTGAAAGAGTCGCTCATGGCCACTCTTAGTGTTTGACTAGGAGAGAGTGGAAATAGTCTTTGGAGTATTTTTACCAAGGGACTTAGGAATTTTTTATCCTCTCCGAGTCCGTATAGCGAGGGTATAAGTGTTCGAACCTTAAGAATATTCTGCTATATAAGATTCTGTCGCGCTATGTCCGTTATGAATGCGAAAAGGCTACCGTTTTCCATTAGGGGCTTAAGAAATTCGTAATCTTCCTCACACCGACCGGGGACTCGTTATTGTAGCATTTCCACAGTCAATTTGTCGATGCTGTGCATTAATTCTATATCTCCATCGAGTATATCAGTCTAGATAGCCATAATATACTGGAGGTAGTTAATAAACTCCTAGTTTAGGTTCAATAGATAACTCCTTTAGGGAGGAATATCTACTTATCTTATCGCACTTTATAATGATAATCTCATGATATATCGATAATATAAGGCTAAACCTCTAGCTAGGCATAGTTAAGACTTTATCAAGAGCGGCTGGAAGTATACTATGTTTTAGGAATTGCTTTAAATTCCTCTGTCTATTTAGTGAAAGTCGGGCGCGCCACCGTCCTTCCGCGAATACATCCCCTTCTTTATGGTAATAATAAATATTATAATATATCTCTAAATCACTATAATACGTTGATTAGTATATTGCTCACTCAATATATCTTTCAAATTGATACTAGTATCTTAGTGACTATATTAGTGAAGAGGATATATATTAAACGCGTTACTAACCTTTAAGGTAAAGATCTATAGTCTAGTGTTTCTTTCTAGGAGTAAGGGCTTACTTTGTAGCTTCAATACGTGAGCGACCTTCAAGGTAGACGAGTGGACGGTGAGCGGGAAATTTCACTATTGGCGGAACTCTATCGGGATTCTCTAGAAGTTAGTGTTCCTTAACACCTGAGGCTTGTAGTATATTATCAAGTATTTCATCTGAAATAATTACGATAATACGGTTCTTTAGCTCTAAAGGGTAGTAACCTACTATACGGAATATGTTTCGAAGTCTTACTATATTAATAACGGCACCCGTCGAGATTAGCTTTTCAAACTCGAGATGGCTTAATCTAACGCGTACCGTCCCTCGAAAACTCGAGCTTCGCTCTTCATATAGTTATATTTGCCGCTGATCAATTAATCTCTGTTACATATCGTCTCCTAAGAACTAAGTAATCTAGCAGTAAGGCCAGGTGGAAGTGCTGAATAACGGTGGGTTTAACTAAGAAGACTAGGAGACTACGGAGTTAGATATTTATAAGGTGGCCCACGGAATTAGATATTTTTAGAGATTAGGTACTATTTAGTCATAAATTCCATTAGTTTATAGCCTAACCGTATATGGACCCCAAGGGTGACTGAACCCAGTCTCTATTTTCGACGTTGGTATACATAGATCGCCAGCTACTGATCTCACACCTTGATCATGTATTCTCGTGAGTACACTATCTAAATATGGGCTCAAATTTTGAAGAACGGCGACGCACAAGACTCCCATTTGGTGGGGCCTTCAAGATAGAGTTTAATATTGGCGAGCCTTTGTCAAGCGGCAAATCTGACTTGGATAAGACTACCAGCGATATTAAAACCTATCACTCAAGTAGCTCTAGTGGCAAACGAACACTTCGGCAGCGCTAGATACAAGTCCACGAAGGAAGCCCATAGTAATTTTATAAGGAGAGATACGACATTACCTTAGGGGAGAACCTTATCGTTAGCTAACTAAGACAACCGAACCTAAACATTATTGAGGGAGATGAAGAAGGAGACAGTAGGTCTAAACTTTATGCGATCAGGAGTTTTGAGGTCTCAGACCTTATAAGACAAGTCCAGATCTTATAAGATATCAGGTACGAAAACCTTATTGATATTTCCCATATCTTTCTACAAGGGCCGACATACTACACTATTTCAAGTCTTAATGAGATATCCCTATCCGAGTTTTGCAAGCCAAAATTCAACCTTTCCGACACACACTTAGCCGCCATTATTTACTAGGTATGCCCTTTAGTTATGATCGGAACTCACTTATTAATTTGAATAGCTTTTGCAAGCAGTCGAATTCTTATCTTCACTAAACCTAGAACTAGGTTTATTAATATATTCACATGCGGTTATATCTGGGAAGGGAGTTATTAAAATTAGTAAGAATCTTTTTTGTTTCTACTCGTTTATATACTGATCTCTCTATCTAGCCAATCTTTAAGATTACTTAAGCCAGTTATCCGTTTAGAAGTATTATAACTCGCGGGATACCCTTAAGCTTCAGGGCATTATGTTGACGCTTATGGAGAAGTTAGAGCCTGAGGATCTCCCGGTAGAGCCAATATAGCCTTACAAATGGTCTGCGTCTCTAGTGGAATTCTTACATTCCCTTCCTTATCAAGACTCTACAGAGCTTCTTCAGGTAATGAAGCAAGAGGCACAAATAAGAACGTTTTACTGATCGAACTCAGCACCATTTCTGTCACCCGGGAAGCAGGGCTGTTACAATGACTGTTAC